CCTCCCCCTGTGACTCCTATCCTCCTGCCCGGGGAGGCCAAACAAGACTTTATGCTACCGGGGAGAGAGAACAGAAAACTAACAAGCAGGACGCCCAAGCGGCTTTTCCGCGTTTTCCGCAGGCTTTTTTTTTTCTTGTTTTAGTTGGGCCCTCGACACTGAAAACAGTATCCTTTGGAAACGGTGTCAAAGTTTCCAAGATAAATTGGGTTATGTGCGATTTCGCATAGTTGGCTTGCTGCTCAGGGTGGATTCGAGAGCAGGGGCGCGTAGTGAGTGTACGGAAAAGATTCTTCTTGAAACAAGCACTGAAGCATAGATTAAGGGACTGCAAATTTTTCTGGTGGGAGAAATGAGATGATCGTGATAATCAGATCAACCAACTCTTCGTTGTGATTGTGAGTACCGTATTTTCAATGCCAGATATCGGATTTATCCTATCGAACTGACTTGGCAATCACAACAAAGTCTTTATCCACCGTGTGGATGCACTATGCACGCAGACATCTCAAGTATTAACCGAGTGAAACATTTCCAAGTGCGTAGTATTCGAGTGTGACAGCTCAAGTCTCACAAGAAGCACGTCTGATAGGCACTTGCAAGTTCCAACTCAAAGTAAAGCACTTGTGTAGACAGCTTTCTCAGGTTGTACACCAAAGCCATCGCCATTATTGTGGTTCACCCAGCAAGCCCCACCATCCTCTAGGTGGTGGGGTGCCATAGGTCCGGGGAGCGCGCCCCCGCCAGCGGCGGCGCCGGTGCTACTCACTGGTCTGCCCCCGGGCGCCGACGAACAGCAGCAGCAGGAGGGAGAGCGCGGCGCCGAGCGTCCTCCAGGTGACCATGGCGGCCGTCGGCGCTGTTCCGAGACAGCCCGCCATCACTGTCCGCATTGTGTCCGCCTGTCCGTCGCTGTGGTGTGCACGTCTGTCCGCAGACAGCTTGCATGCATGTCACTCCGCGTCGCCCGAGTGCGGAATGAGGGTTCGGCGCGTCACACAGCTGGGACCGCCATCTGCGGAAGATGCTTCCACAAGACTAACTAAACACTGCAGCTGCCGCCGGCGGCGCGGCTCGGCGCGGCCCGGCTCTGCGGGGAGCGGCGGGGCGGGGCGGGCAGCAAGTGTTTGCGGGTACCACGCCGGATGGCGGGCGGCCAGAACCCGCCGCGCCACGACACTTGCCCCCCGCTGCGCGACCACCGGCCGACCTTAGCCGTGCGACCGGCCGCGCCTTGGGGTCAGCAGCCGTGGTCGGTCCGGAGTAAGACGCGTCCTGCAGGACCGGGGCGCCGGGTCGCTGTTGCCGGGGCGGCGGCCTGGCCGCGGCTCGGTGGCGCCGACCGTGGCCGTGATCCTGACGGAGGCCCGGCCACTGCAGTGTTAAAAGTAAACAACAGTAAATCACTACAGAATGGTCTGGTAATTTTTGAAACAGTGTGATCCTGTAGTCTAGACTGTACCTCATACTGGAGAAAAGTTCTTTTCGAGCACGGTCAAGTATGAAAGTACAGGACGATCTGTATGGATTCTGTTTCTGGGTACAGAATTTTCAACAGTGTGGCCACGCATGCAGCGGCCGACACGCATCTTCCATCCGGGACGGGGAACCCCCCTGGGAGCGCCCGACGCGCCGCACCACACACTCGCCTGCTCGATTCTTGGGTCCGACCAAAACGCCTCATTAATTCAACGAAAAATACGAACGGGTAGAGAGTGGCGATGGGCGAACGGTTCTCGAGAACCTAGCTGCTTGGCATTACTTCGAAACACTTTGTTCGCGACCCAATGGAGACTTGGCGTTTCGTTCCGTCTAGGTCCTTCGAAGACAGCAGTTTAGCTCCTCCGGATGCGATGTATTGTTACGCAGCCATATGTTAATTAAATGTTATATATACTAGTGAGGCGTGGGGTCCCCTACTAGCCAACTCATTTTACACTTGCCCACGCCCAACTCGCGTCAAACTCGCGGAAACTTGCTAAAACTCGCAAAATCTCGCGAACATTTTCGAAAATTTGCAACAACTCCCACTAAATTCGCGAAAAACTTTGCAAAAATCGATCCCAACTCGCGCTTATCTCGCGACAACTCATCAACTCACCAACTCGTTGTACACTTTTTTGAAAGTAGGGGATCCCTCGAGGCGAGGTGAGGTGGGCAGGCCGAGGGCGAAAATGAGAGAAAAGTCCTGAAAGTAACCAGCCAAGTATATGCAACGACGTTGCCTGCAACAATTTCCTGTCTCCAAAATGCGCCAAAATGTGTCATCATTCGCCCTCTGTACTGTCGCCGACAGGTGACAGAGGTGAGGGGTTGTTACGTCACATTTTGCATATAGCAGGATATTGTTGCATGCACACGTCGGCAAGCTCTCATAGCGCCTGCTAGGCAGGCAACATCTGGTCTGCAGTACATGCGAGCACAGCGGGTGGCCTACCCTGAGTCTCGCAGGCGCCTAGCTCCCGTACTTTGCCAAGTAATGCCTAGAAGAACGGACGTACCAGGTGTATCTTTGAATAGGCTCTAATATTGAGCCAATGAGGCCGTAGGGTCCGTGGTCCCTTACGCGTGTAAAGAGAAGGCAAACCCGCACTGTAAATTGCTTACGAACTATGGGTTCGTAATGCAAACCAAAACGTTCATAGCTTACGAAAGATTTTGAAGCGTTGTATTACGAACTAATTGTTCGTAAGCTTACGAACAAATAGTTCGTAATGCGAACCGATTGCTCGTAAGACCCGTCTTGCCTTACAATCGGTTTGCAATACGAACAATTTCTTTGCAATACAAAGAACGAAAATTGTTCGTAACGTTGCAAAGTATTTAGTTCGTAAGCTTTTTACAGTGCGCAACTCTAGATCGTATTCAAAGATACGCCTGGAGCGGACGGATTCCTTAGTACAACATAGTGCGCCTTATTATTGCGTCCTTAACTGTCAAAATACATTGTTATTGTTATTACGTATAACGCCGCCTCTTCCGCCAGCACGCCATAATTACTCATTCTTGCGCTAAATTAAGTTATTATTGACCGGGTTGTGCGAGTTATTCCCCCTCAGGCGGACGGTATGGTGTTCATGTTATCGTCACAGAGGAGGGAGAGTCGCCCCAGGGATTCAATAGGGATTTGTCTTGCTTTAAAAAAAAATTGAAATGCCTTTTTTTTACTCTACTTTATTTCTGTGCTTTGGCCATAGATAGACTCTGCTACATTTGCGAATGTCAGCGTGGTGTGTTCCAGGCATCATTGCTTGTGTAGTCCAATGCATTGCTCTTTCCGCTCTTTCAGTCAAAGTGACTAAAAGCCCCGCCTTTTTCGTTGCTTTGCTGTAGGTGCCTCTCTCATGCTCAGCCAACAATTCTCAAACTCTTAAAAGCAGTGCAGTTCTAAATAAAATTCCAAACATAGAAGCACAGCATGATTTACTATGAAACTTACTCTAAGCAATGTTTTACTTAAATAGAGAAGAAAATTGCAGTCTTATGAAGCACACACTATAAAAGGCTTGCGACGAACTTCGTCGTATTACAATGCTTCAAAATTCTCTGCCAGCTACTGTGAAAAAAATTGTTTTGCAATACCGGGTGTCCGGGAGAATACGCGGCAGTTCGATGGGTTGACTACGCACTGGCGTGCAGGCGCGGAGGGCAAGGAGGGAGCGGTGGAGGTAGCGAGAGGCAACTGGCTGCCCCCCACGACTTCTTCAGCTCCCCACTCGCCCTCCACGCCTGCACGCCAGTGCGTAGGCAACCCAGTGAGCTGCCGCGTATTCTCCTGGACACCCGGTACCTCGCCCGGTACAAGCATTTTGCAGTGTGGAAATTCGGTCTCAGTCACCTATTTCGTGCGTGTAAAGTTGGTCTACTGACAAAATGTTCGTTTCCAGACCACACGCTTTAAGAAAATTTTAAAAATTGAACCGGAGTACGATGCTTTTCCAAGTATCCCAACAAAACAACAAAAGAAACCCTGGGCCTTGGCAGGCACCCCTACGCGCTCCCAAGCGGCCTGTTCCTCTTCTGCGAAAAAATAATTATGCTACTCCCAGTCTCCGTCTCTTCTCTCTCTCCAACCTCTACAACGCGTGGTATACTGAAAAAATCTCAATCAAGAAGCCAACTTGAAAGCAGATGAATATTAAATAAGAATAGGTCTGTCTTCTAATTTTCTTTCCTATTCAGCTGTCATTTGTTTATGTCTTCTTGTTACTTGCAATCACGAATTTGGTGGACTAGCGGCGTAGAGGAGAAGATGAGCGGCGGGCAGAGCCTAGTATTGTTGGGCAGGGACTCCAGTGCCTTCGCCTTACCTGCCTGGCGCAGTATTGCTGTCGGGAGGGGATAACCGGGATAACGCGAAAACAAAGCGGCCTCAGCGCGACGGCCATTCCGCCTCAGTTTGCTTTCTCTCTTTTACCCTATCAAGAATTATGGCCACCGACACCTTGATATTGCTTATGTTAATTAATGTTAAGTACACTGGAAATGCAAGTGTGTGAATGTCGCTCACCTGCAAGTGAGCGACATTCCATTCGTACACTTGAGGGGGTAAAGGTGTGAAAAAATTCACAC